AACTTGCTGCTGCGCACCACGCGAAAAGACATTTCTGCACCTGGACCTAGAATAATCCCATGTTGTTTGTAACCAATTATTCCACACACGTCGGATGCGTCTCAGTAGGCCAGGAGCGCGACTAGAGCGGGAGAAGTAGGAGAGCAAAAGTTAGAGCGTACGGATTAAGAAAAAGATGAGAAACGAAGAAAGAAGTAATTAATAAAACGTCCCGCGATTATGCTAATAAAGGAAGACAGAGCGAGAGATAGAGGGAGGGAGAGAGAGAGAGAGAGAGAGAGAGAGTGAGTGAGTGAGTGAGTGAGAGAGCGCGCGCGGTGTGTGTGAGAATGTTATAACCTACAAAAGAGAGTGAGAAAGAGTGCAGCCGTGGTAATAAACCGTTATGCCGGTTTATTATTATTATTTTTTCAATAGAATTCGTATATTTGTTATGTGGTCACCGACGAACGTGGGTGTCGCATGGATCATCCCCCGACCGATTTTTTTTATAAATAGAATTCCCCACCCTCGGCCTGTGGGAAACGGACACGAATATAAAATGAGAATATTTTCGAATCGCACGGATTTTGATGCCTTTAATAGCGACGAAACGAGTGTGCGCGCGAGAGTTGAGCGGATCTCTCTCTCTCCCTCTCTCTCTCTCTCTCTCTCTCTTGCTCTCTCTTGCTCTCTTACACACGGAAGAAAGCACGAACCAATACACGCGCGTTCTTCTCTTTCGGCTATAGTCAGTGTTGCCAATAGTTAACGCACCGCCATATTCATTTATAAACACATATACGCACACGCACGTCAAGCAGAATCATCCACTAATAATCTTTTGCACTCTCTTGCGACTCTTTCAGCGCATTTTTCCTTATTCTTTTGCAATTCCACCCTTGAGCAATTGAAATTCACGCACATACACATGGGAGATCGAATGTAGGTAACTAAGCCGAGGTAGTCTGAGCTACAAAGAAATTTTTTAAAACGGTACTGCATTTACCAAGAGAGTACAAATTCGTCTTTTAAAATAACATTCGAGTCTTGCCTGAAAATACAACAAACTAATTAAAAATTCATTTGCCAAATAAGTTGAAAATTAAAGCAACTAAGCGTTTAAATTTAAATTCTTTGATTCTCCCGACCCCGATCGACATACAGAAATGACGAATTTTGAAAAGGCACGATTTTAAAATATAACAAATATAATAAAATATTTGTCCCAAATTTCGATAAAAACAAAAAAATAATTAAAAAAAACAACAAAAAAAAAAACTTAAAAAAAAACTTAAAAAAAAAAAAAGAAAAGAAAAACAAGCGTGACGCCACCAAATATGCCTACGAATCTTATTTTATAAATGTATTCTATAAATACGAAACGTCCGCATTGAGAACTGATTTCCAAAAACATTGCAAAATGACGAAGGATTTTGCTACGGAAAAATATTTTTAGCTTCAAAACCTTGAAGTTCCAACCGAAATATACGTCGCTAATATAAAAATAAGGCTTATTAAAAAAGCAAATATTCTAACCGCTGGCTTATTATATCCGTGCCAAATTTGTAAAAAGTCTTGGGAAGAGCTTACGGCATCGGATGCTGCGCACGAATTTCGAGTAGAAAAGTGCGTAACGGCACGAAAAAAGATTCGACGGTACGCCGCCTTAAAATTGGTGAGGCTACGAGGCGAAAAGCGAGGGCCGAGTCGCATCGATGCGAATAAAACAGAAAAATTGAAACGAATAGAGAAAAAATAAAAGTTGATGCCCAGGGGGGCGTGGGAGCGTGCGAGCGATCGAGCGAGCACTCGACTCGATACCGATAATACCGATAAGAATCGGCGAAGCAAAGCGCGATAGTACAAAGCTCCGGTCCAAGCACGGCCACTCGTCCTATCCCCGGGCCTTCCGCGCCAAACTAACGACTGATAAAAGGCCGTGAAATTACCGTGAGACAAGAGGCAAGAAAAGCCCAGCGAAAAGGCAACGAAAAGAATGAGGGACACCGAGAGAGAAAAAGGCGTAGTAAGTAGTATCTTCCTCTCCGCCCTTCCTTCCACGTTTTCTTCGTGGTGCGCGGGGCTGTCGCGATGCGTGCGCGCATTTCCAACCGCTGATGTCAGATATGTGCTTCATAATCACGACAAAAGAAATTCTCTCCCCATGGCCTATACGTAATAAACGCTGGCTCGTATGACACGCGGCTTGCGCGCCTCCCGCATACTTGCATCGTTACGCGCGCGACTCGTCGTGCGCTGTCAATGAAAAGCATGATAGGTCGACGATTGGCATGTGGGGCCGCGGGAGGGGGTGGGACAGTGGCTATCGAGAGGGCGGTAATGGCGGGTAAGGGGGAAGGGAGATGGGGCCACGAGGAGGAGGAGATGATCAACGGCAGCAGCAACAGCAGCAACAGCACGGGGGGTTACCTCCGCTTATCACTTTCAATTGGTCCTTTCAAAATCGTCACTCGCGCATTCCAGGGCCCCGGTCTTTTCGCGCCTCGTCCCTCTCGCCGGCCACCACCCTCCCTCGTCCCGCGCCGCAAGATAAGCTACTTTTCTGCCCTCGTCGCCTTGGCGAAATCGTAAGTCCCGAGAGCCCCGATAGCTAGAGCACCGCGATTACTCACACTTTGTTTCGAATTATGACGCCGCCTAAGCCTGCTACGCGGCTTACGTAGTTTAAAAATACTCGATGACTCCTTACGCACGGCGAACGACGAGGGGCTCCCCGGAGAATACGCGCGGCGCACTACCGGGCAAGAAATTGTCGCAGCGGACTCCGCCGATGACGTTTAATCCGGGAGGCAAGTCGGGAGATCTCGTTCGGTCGACCGCTTCCCTCCGCCCGCCGTTGCACCGATAATAAAAAGACCTCTTATTCTTTTCTTTCTGTTTCTGTTTTTTTTTTTTTTTTTTTTGTTATTGTTATTGTTGTTGTTGTTGTTGTTGTTGTTTTTGTTTCTTTTCTTTTTTTTTTTTATCGCGATGCACAAAGCCACTACCGACGAGATGGGCTCGGCGCGCTCGTGGCGGGCGACCTTATCTCCGCACCGGATTAATGACAACAGGTGTATATTATACCTCGAGGGCGGCTCCGTCGGCTTCCTCAGCTCGGTCTGCTTCGGCCGCTAGCGCTCGCTGATGATGCCACGGGACCGTGTGCCGGGTGGTGGGTGGGCGGGAGAGGAGGGCGGGGTAGGCGCGCGTGTTCAAGCGAGCGGGGCTAGGAGGCGGCGGGCATCGGGAACTCGTCGGCGATCGGGAGGATGAGCTCCGCTCGAGACTGCAGTGACGGCGAGACGGGACCAAAAGACGTCCTCCGGGTCTCGCGGCGCATCGTGCGCTACTCGGTCCGGCGCGGCGCGCGTTCTGTCTTCTGTCGTCTCCCCGCGCGCGCGGTTCGTCGAGGCTCGGTGCCGCCGGAGGCTCCGTCCCGTCCCCGCGCGGCGACGTAGCGCCAGGAGCGCACGCACGCACGCTAGCCCGCACGCACGCACGCACGCACGCACGCACGCACGCTCGCACGCTCGCACACACGCACTCGGTAGCGGCCGCGCGACATACACGGGAGGACGGCCGATTTGTTATTTTAAACGCGCTCTCGGGGCGGGAGCAGAGCCTCGGCTACCTTCGGCCGATTCCTCGAAGTCCGGTCGTACGTGCGCAACTCGGGACACGTGCGTAACCTGACGGTCAGGCTACTTGCTTCGCTGGCGCATCCCGAGAACAACGGCCGACGTTGCTGCTGTTTCTGTTGCTATTGCTGCTGCTCTTCTTGTTGCTGTTGCCGTTGTTGATGTTTTGGCTTTTCCTGTTATCGTTGCTGTTATTGTTGCTGCTGCTGCTGCTGCTGCTGCTGCTGCTGCTGCTGCTGCTGCTGCTGCTGCTGCTGCTGCTACTGGTGGTGGCGCTCCTCTCACTCGCGTTTGTCAGACTAGTTTTTCCGTGGCCACGAGCAGAGATTCGCTCAGCCATTCGTTAACTACGCTGCTTTCCTTTCTTATACGCGCCCCGTTACGCGGAAAATCATGGTATACAAAAGCTGTCGACTGACTCATTCGCCTTTCGCGATTAATCCCTCTAACCCTCTTTGTCCTCCCGCTTATTCTCTCCTTGACTCCCTTTCACCTCTCCCTGTTCCTTTTTTCATATTTAATGAGCCATGGGATGTGCGTTATGGTCAAGACGGCAAACCCTTTCATCGCTATTCGCGGTTCGCAGCTCACTAGTCTTTATTACACGTTGGGTTATTTATCTCGTAACCTTCTCGTTTTTCTGAATTAATAATATAGGCAACGACGGCGATAATCTCAAGGACAATAGTAATGACAATAGTAATGATATTAACGACAATAGCAATAAGAGCAACAATAACAAGTAAAAGAAGAAGCACCCAAGAAGCTCGTTGTCGTCGTCGTCGTCGTCGTCGTCCTCTACTTTCGGCACCTTAAATTCGCGCTTTTCCTATTCATGTACTCACGCGTATGTATAATCGTGGCGTATAATTGTCGGTCGGCCTTTAAAAACAATTTTCTTTTATTGTTTTACGATAGTAGATAAGCCGTTACGACGAGTCCGGCAGTCGGGCCGACAGCCCAAGACCAATGCTCATTGCATGCTCATTGCATTAATTTAACTTACTTTTTGTTTTAACGTCTCTGCAATTCCTGTCATCGACAATGAAGTAGCCACTGTTTCTACAGCTACTGCTTAACACGGAAAATTATAAAAATCTGAAGAACGGATTTAATGAACTATAAAAATGGACTATAAAAGCTGTAACTACAATAAAAAATTAATGGGTTTTGATCATTTTATTGAATTTTATTGTAGTGCTCGACCAAATGTTTATCGAGCGAATTTAAAAGTCGCAATCTTTTTTCATTGGCCACAGTAATGAACTATTTTCAATTACAGCGTAGGCAGAAAAATAAACAAATACGAAATGAGAAAGACAGGGTTGACGGTCCTGAGACGTATCAGTCGTCCGTCAGCTTCTCATTCGTGGATTGGATACCGAGTGCTTGATGCATACGCGCGCGCGCGCGCGTGTGTGAGTATGTGCACGGGCATGTATTTTTTGCCGGCAAATGTACAATCCGTGCAGAGTCGCGCGCGCGCAAACGCACACGTACTCGCGCGTACACAACTCAAAATTAGTATCTCCTGGCGGCACCGAGACGGGGCGCTTTTGTCGGGAAAACCGGAAACCCTCAGGAAACACCTTATTTGGCAATGCACACACTATCACGTCGAGCCCTCCCTCTCTCTCTCTCTCTCTCTCTGTGTTCGTCCATCTCGTTCGCAGGTCGTAAGCTACGCAACTTTTTCATTGACGATAAGAATCGTCGCGACAACCCCCGACACTCGCCCTCTTCCCTCATCGTCATCGTGCGACTCCTTACCCCACCCGGCCTTTCTTGGATCCGCCGCGTCGAGGTGTCGTCGGTCGTCGCAGGGGACGAGCGACTACGAGCAATTTTGCCCTATACCGGTCGATATGGGCAGAGAGGAAGAGTGAGAGAGAATGTGCGCGCGAGGAGGCACGGGAGAATAGAAAATGTGAGACGTTGCTAAACGACCGCTACTCCTCGTCTTGGCAAAAAGTCGCCTGGACGTCGTCGAGATATCGGCCGCGCCTGCAATTATATATAAGGGAAAATCCTTGTGGCGATAGACGCGAGGGGAGACGGGCCGAAAAATTTTGCTAAATATTTCCTCTCGCTGTTGATATAGTCAATAAGCAGGAGAGGGAGAGAAATTCTCCCCACCTTCGGCGCGATTGCTGCTAGTTAGTCATCAATATATCCGAATGTAGATCTTTTTATATGCTCGAGTCCAATCAAACTTTTTTTAATGTTCTTCTCGTATATCGACGACATTATCAAGCTTTTATTTTCCTGTCTTATCTTCTTACGTTATTGAATCGAATCGAATCGAATCACTTTTTCGTGTCTTAGGACAGACGGAGCTTTTTATAAACCAAGAGCGCGAGCAATTACTGTAATTTACGAATGCTTGTTTTGTTCTATACAGTGTGCGTAATCAATAGCATGTTGCGATAAATTTTATTTGAACGGTAAAAAAGCAGGTAAAAAGAGCGATTCGTTAGAGCTTTTGGAAGTATGGAGCGGAGGGCGGTGGTTAAGGGGGAGGGTGGTTGGGGGTTGGGGAACGTGTGGCGCGGAGGGGCGGGGAGAGGGGGAGACAGTTTATCACCCCAAGATTACTTGGCTCGGTTTCGATAGTTAAACTCAGCTGAGCAGCTTCTACCTCAAGCACACGTATAAATTCGCAGAATAAACAGATTTATCATTTATCACGAACATCCGCTCCGAACGAGTCTCGTAAATTCTTAATTAAACGAAATACGTATTTCGTTGACGATTCTTTATTTCAACATTGAGAAAATTAAAATTGTAGTTGCTGCTGTTCTGATCTGTTAACAGACTTTCAATCTCGTCTCGTTGGAAACAAGCCAAGAACATCCACTAAACCTGGCAGACGGCATATGCCAAATATAATCTTCCATGCAAGTTATCCTCAAAAGATTGTTTTATCAATGAGCGCTTTTATTATAGTCTCATGCTATTCTCTGGAAAATTTCTTTCTAAACAATAGGAAAATATAGAGAAAGCCATGTAATATGTTTTATCGTAGTTTCAATCCGGAATAAACCAAACTTTAAAGCAGAATGCATACTCTAACGAAATGTTGATGTTGAAAGTAACAGCACACCGCAAATTCTAAGCCTGTTAAAACATCGCACTAGCGAATAGTATCGATGGAATTATAAATAGCTTATTATGAATAGAAAAATGTAAATTTTGCAAATTATTCATTATTTTTGACTGCTCGTGGCTAAGGCTCTAAGTGCTTTGAAACCTTAAGAATGCGGGCGGGCGACATACAATTTGAATTTGCTTATGGATTTTATAATACAATAACTAAAATTACTAGTAGTAGGTAATTGATTCCTACCACCACGACACAAGTTTTCTTTTAGTGTCATTATGCATATGCATATGTATATGCGTACAAACACGCGCGCGCGTGTATACACATATGTCAAGAATTTAATAAACCTTTTAACGACTGATTAATTTTTTTAGATATTTATTTTAAAAATTTTACAAAAATAAAAAATGATGAAAATGGCATGATTCGTGACTTAACATATATAATTAATGATGAAATAGATATTTTAAATTATCTACAACTAATTATTTTTTCAGATCACAATTAATTATTGTTTCTATTTTTTTCTCTTTTTGTTCACAAAATGACATTTATAAAAAATTAACTTAAAATCTTACAAATTATTTAAAGCTTATGAAGTAATATCAAGTAAGAGAATAACTATTCCTCGAATGAAATCTGAAATTATGAATGAAAATAATATAAAATAATATAACATAAAGCCTGATAAAAAGCAGTGATTTAAATTTATAAATAAGACTTATTTATTATATAGTTAATCAAAAAAATTTTAATCTAAAACAATATATTCAATTTCATACATATTACTCACACTTTTTTATGAGCAAATTAAAATTTTTTACACGAATGTAGTTTACATTCAAATTATATGATAATGGACAGTAACAAATCAATGTCAAAACATAGACCGTAGTAATTCTTAATACTAAAACCTTTATCTAAATTATTTTTTAACTCTACCAAAAGTTAATTTTTGATACGCATACTTTAACACTGATGGATATTTTTTGCACAAACAATAATAAAATGAAAATTGCTCAAGGTTTTTGGCATAATACAATACATTAATAATCATTCCCGTCGCTTAACTTAAATTTTAATATTCTAACATCTTTTAATATTCATGATATTCATGCATAAATAATCATGCAAAACTAATGAAAGGAAGATGTACAATTAAAAATATATTGTACACAATCACTGTAAACTATCGCTATACATTGTCTTGTAAGCAATGAAAATTATAACTTATACATAGACCAGATAGACTTGAATCAAAGTACTTTACAAAATTCATATATTTTACTATTATCGTTTATTAAAATTCAAATAGCAATGATTAATTCATTGTATTTTAATTGAATGTTAAGAACAACTACATTGTTAATTTATCAAAAGATGCAATATTATTCCAAAATGTATTGGAACTTACTATTGAGTGTAGTAATTTTAGAGCTAAATAGCACTTTAGAAGTGCTTCTTTTTATAAAATTTCACTAAAAATTCATACATTCTTGTATAAAGTATAGAAATAATTATTTTGAAATTTATTTATATATATATATATATATATATATATTATAGTCACATTATAATAATGTTGATAAAAATTTTAATAGTAACAGCAAATAAGTTTGAAATACATAAAACTAAATTTACTACATAATTTATCAAAGACATTTAATTAACTAATGAATTTTTAGAGAAATTTTTATTATTGAATATTAACATACGCTGCTTGTTTTGTAACGGTAAGCAGAAATTCTGCTAAATACTTTAACGCGTCTGATTCTGATACATATGAAAAAGTACCGTTAGTGAAAGTCTAATTTAATGAGAGTCAGTCTCCTGATTCTTCTTTAATCATGGATGATTGGATGTTCTTATCTTTACTATCGGCATATTCATTCAAACTAAGCGAGTGCTTGGTTTTTAAGTCAGTCTTAAAGTTTACTCTTTGGGCAGTGGTATCATCATGGTACATCTGTTCAATCAATACTCCACCCCCATTTCCAGTCTTAATATTTGAGTTACTATTATTCGTGGAATTCTTAGTGTGTGTCTCGCTAAAATGTTTGTATAACATCATTGATGTAGCAAACTCCATTTCACATCCTGTAATTTTGCACCTAAAAAACCGTTAGAATATATAACATAACATTATATATAATAGGAATAGACTGTTTATTAAAGAAAAATGGAACTTTAGAATGTACAATTACAACAACTAAAATCAATATATTTATAACTTATCTTGAAAATTAACAATAATATTATTGTTATAACAATATATACAAATATAATATACATAATACATAAATTTTTAATATAAAATTAATCAATGGTTTAATTTTTTAATAACCAATTATTGTTCTGAAAATTATAATTTCTTTCAAAATTTACCGATAAATCTCGTTACATTTTGTTGGAGCTGGTGGCTTGGCATTCGCATGAGTTTCTTGATAATGCTTCCACAAGGTTGTGACATTACTTAATTGAGCACCGCATCCAGGCATTTTACAGCTAAAAGAAGAAAAACATATATATATATATATATATATATACATAACAACACAAACGAAAACTGCTTAAATTGCTTTTATAAAATAATACTCACATGAAAAAACTAACAGTGGTGGCTTTACCAACTTTTGGTTTTGGCATTTTTGTAGAATTGATAGGTGTAATAGGATTTGTTATTAATTTATGACTATCTTGATGATGTCGATAATGGGATATGTATTTATATGTCTTACCACAACCGTTTATTTCGCATTTATAAGGTTCTTGCTTACACCTTGACATTCGCTGCTTTTTAGGAGTATATTCTTCATCGTCCGAACAATGAGTTTTAATTTCATTAGTGATTTCTTCCGATTTTATCGAATCTTTTTCAAAGCCATTTCTGAAAACTTTTTCTAAATTACCTAATTCTATCCTATGCTCTTGATTTGGACTTTTTGTTAACGAGACATCACTATTAATAAAAATTGTGTTATTTCCTCCCTCTTGACTGTTGTCAATTTGCACATTTTCATTATTGCATATTGGCGACCTAGCCTCATATTTAACGAGAAAATTTTCCTTTGTTATGAGCAAGTCCTTATTTTTAGGAAACTTAGCACCCACTCTATTTAATGCTCCATTATTTTTCGAATAATCATCGTAACTTAATGCTGCTCGAAGTTTTGATTGTTCTACCGTGTAGTCGTCATTTTTTTGAGCTTTAGCGCTTACAATTCGCTTCTCTTCTTTAATATTGTATTTATTTTGTTTCAGACTAATTGTTTCATTCTTCAAGAAATATTCATTTTTCCTAACAACCCCATTGTCGGCAGCATCTTTAGCCGCACTTCGAACATTATCAAAGCCACTACCATCGTCGCTGACTCTGGTAATATCTTCGTCAATTATATTATCGGGACCTTCAAAGTAAATGATCTCTGGTTCGGTTGATATAGTTGGAAGCTGCCTATGAGAAGATTCTATATGCTCTTCTAGAATTTCACTAGTGGCATGCATGGAACTACAGCTTGTATACGGACATACAAATACATTTGTTTCGTTATTATGCCATTCCTGATAGTGTCGCCACATGCTCCCTGGATCTGACAGTTCCTCTCCACATCCTGGCTCTCTACATCTACAATTATCACATTTATCAAATTGTTTTCATAATAAATTTTTTTTAATTTACAGTGACCATCGACTTACATAAATCTAATTTTTAGAGCTTCGAGAGCCTCGTGAGTTTTATATTCTTCTTGATTAGTAAATATTTTACCACATCCTCGTTGTTTGCAAATATAAACTTCCTAAAAGAAATAGATACTTGAATTAAAATTTTTCACGTTCTCAAATCTTTTATTACAAGTATCTTTATAGACTTATGTAAAATGTATCGAATGGGTAACATAATTAATATTGTCACTGCCCAAATTAACAATACGATTAAATATATAGTTGTGATAATATTAACAATAAATATATTAGAAATTCATAATAAATTAATAAATTAAATAATACATCGATTAATATTAAATAATTTGATTAATTGTTCAATTTTTAATTTTCTGCCAATTTATATATATATATATATATATATATACACATGTATAATACGTATGCATAAAGTAAAATTATCGACAAAAAAATTAAATAAAAAATAATGTAATTTTATAGTCAGAAGTATTTAAATATTTAAGTGATAATGTGCAATATTTTAAACAGATTAAAAGTTGCTAATTCAAATCTATTTGAGTACGTATAAATAATAATTTTTAAAATGTCAATTTTAGTTAATACGATTAATTTATCATTTTATCGGAAATAAAATGACGCTACTAATCGAACGATTGGTCCATACGTTCCAAATTAATCTGATATTAGGAATTATATAAAACTGATGAGGACGAAAGGAAGAAAAAGCCGAGGAAGAGCACTAAGGGCTGCTGTCGCACCAAGGGTTTTAAAGAAGATATTTGAAGAGACGACGATAAGCACGTTCGTAAGTAAGTTCGGGGAAAGGCCGAGCGAGAGGCTCCCGCGAGTCCGTCAACGATACTTTGACAACAACAATAAAATACTAATAATAAAAACCGTCAGGTAGAAATAGATCGGCTGCTAATTCACAGTAAAAGGAAGGGCAGTTTGTTTTGGATTAGAGGTCATTGAACTTCTGTCCAATGGCAGGACGCCGCGGCGCACGCAGCAACAGCAGCAGCATCAGTCCCTCGCGCAAGGGGTGTTCGAGTAGTAGAAGCTACCGAATAATGGGCGAGTAAGGGCGGCAAGGCGGAGGGGGTAGAGAAAAAAAATACGTACCTTTTTGGGGGCAATCTCCTCGATAGTGCGGTTCCTCGAGACGAATCTAATAACGCTAACCTCGGTTGGCCGGTCGGCACAGGTCTCCGAGGTCTCGGTGCCCTGGCCCATGGCTTACGGCTGCGAACGCGGCACCTCCGCGACTCTCCGTCCCACTGGGAGCCAAAGGACGAGCGACCGGAGCGACGCGCACCCGCCCGCTCCCACACACATAACCCGCTCTCCCTGTCTCTCCCTCCCTCTCAGTGTGCGCGCCCGCATATATATACGTACGTGCGCCGCGACGAGGAGAATGAATCCCCGCGCGGCGGTCGACGATGTCTCGAGCCGCCGGGGGGAGGGGGTGCAAGTGAGACAGAAGCGAAAGCGCGCGTGCGGCCGTCGCGACGCTGCGTGCGCACGGGACACCCGCGCAAGCGGAGCTACGTTGAGGCCGCACGGGACCGACGGCGACGCACGTACACGCACAGCCTACTACAACGCGAAACGACCAGCAGCTACAAGGGCAACCCACCGGAGACTAACGCACGCGCTCCCCCGAGTTCCCCTCCCCCTTCATCGCTCCCCATCCATTCCTCGAGCTGCTCCTTTTTTCCTTAAGAGCGAACCGCCGCTCCTTTGTACGGCGGTGCGCGCCGTGTGCGAGCGGATGCACTGCCGACGGACGACGAGCATTCGTTCGATTTTCGTGGACGCGGTGCTTCGGTCTTTCCGCTGTCTCGAACTATCCTCGACACCCACCGTCTCTACCAGACAGCCCTTCCGCTGCCTTCCATGCCCCTTGACCCCTGCCCCTTCCCCGGCTTGCCGAATACTTGCTGTAACAACGTCCCTAACGTCGGGCCTCCCTGACTCTTTACTCTAAATTATCGAAATTATCACACCCTCTATGCGCCCTTCGAGCCTCGTTCGAAATCGTCGACGCGAATATGCATCGTCGTATCCTTTTGGGACGATCTTTCCTTTTGGAAATTACGTGTTGCCAATTGTTTCGCGATTGGTGACTCGGCCATATAACGATACGCCACCACTCGAATTAGCAACGAAATTAGCTAGCTCGTCTGGCCCCGGCATTGCGGCATTTTGCGCGTATATGTCATATCATCGTTGTAAAAACTTTATAAAAAATCCATGTCTATACAAGCAAGCACACGAATAAGTGAGCCACGGCGTACTTTCACTTTTGACGCATTATTTATTATCCGAGTCTCATTTTAACGCGCAACAGCATCTGCACGAAAGATTAGTGCACGAGCGAGTGATCGATACGCGTAAGTCTCAAAGTATTCGTAACGAACGATAATATATTTATGAAAAGTTAAGGTTCCTACGAGTTTTAACAACTCTGGCTAAAAATATACAAAATTTTCTTATGCAGTTTCGAAATTTGCGCAACTAGAGAGTATTTCTCGCTCCGACATCGTACTATATACAATGTTTGCTTGTGTTGTCGGGCATTGGCCGGATTAGGTTTCAATTTAGGAGTGCTTTTGACGAGTTTTTCGGAATATTCCGTACGTACGGTTACTTCAACAAAAGCACACACTTTTCCCATTGAGCTCCGAGTTCATGGTAGTCCCGGATTTCTAATAAGATTTGCGAATAGCGGGCTGCGAGAAGAAATAGCTAAATCGAAAATTTTTAACGACCTTGTATCGTTGCGACAAACTACGCGAATAGCCAGGATTTTTAATCCTCCTTTGCCTATGAATGACCTAACCGTATTTCTAATTTTCAAGCCTCGTTTGGGTAAAATTAATTTTTATAAAATGCCCTATACGATTCATCTTTATTTATTTTATTTTTTTTTTTTTTTCATCAAATGAACCTGTAGGCATGGAGTATATTCAAGTTAATAAGTTCTCCGTTTCTTTATTTTATGTATATGACGGTGAAATTGAAATTGTCGATAATCATAATATTAAAGGGTATTAAGATACCATCTATTTTCCTTCGCGACTATGCCGTCTGAATCGGGTAAATAAAACAACAATATCAACGTAACTGGATACAATGGAAAACTTTATATGACTTCAAAATTGCATGTAGCAAATTCTTTAATGTGATAGAAAATAAGCCGAATGATAAGTATGCTACAAGTTATTTATAAATAACTATTTTATTATTTTTACTCTCATATTTTATATGAACTTTTACTGAAATAAAAGCCGTATTGCAAAATAAAGGAGTCGATGAAAAAAAAAAAGAAAAAAATTATATAAAATTGCGTCGTAATGTTTACAATTATCCCTCGCAATTCTCAATACCATTACATTTAATCTTCCCATTGGAAACTTTTTTCCGCAAAAAAGTTGAATTGCCGGTTCTACTTTTATAAAACTTTGTGTGCGAATACAGATTTGTTAATTTTCAAAAATATTGTGAGACAGAAATTTAAGCTAATTTTAGATATTTATCTTATTCATGCTTTCAATATAATGAAACTTCAGTCCTCGATAAAAGTGTTGCCTTATAAACAAGTAAAAATAGACAAGTTTTGGCGTGAATATTGATCCGACGACGTATTGCTACTATTATTGATATGTAAATTTTTTAACGACGAATACCATAATATGATTGATTTTTATGAAAAATTCTATTATTAATGAAGTTGGATTATTTATAATACTAGATATTAAAGGGAATCGATGCCTCATGACTTTGCACATAATATAGATGGTGCAACGAAGCTGCCTCTTTCGTCATCGTCATCATCGTTATTGTTACTGTTATTGTTATTGCTGTTCTAATTATTGCTGCTGTTGTTTGCTGTTGTCGTTATCATGTCATCATCATCATCATCATCATTATTATTATTATAAAATTTTATTTTTATAAAATTTTATTTTTATAAGAGGGAATTTAAGATAATATCAAATTATTCATAGACTTATAGTCAAACAAAATTTCTTCTTCATCTACATATTAATATTTTTAAATATAAAATATTATTCTATTATTTTCCAATCTGCGATGAAAGTAAGTAGTCGAGGAACTTGAAAAAATTAACAATTCATCTGCTATTTAACATTGAAAAAAGTAAATCAAATTACTATACGAATACGAAAACAGTTCCAGAATCGTGATTTGTGAAAAAATCTTCACTATATCTTGTATGCGACACGTATAGGTAACAATAATATAACACCTATAATATAGAAAATATTTCATATTTTGTATATAATACAATAATATATCATAACATCAATGTATTGCATTTATTTTGCAAAAAAATTAAGCTTCCGATAAATAAGTCAATTTTGATTTAAGGAAAGATATTGATATTAAAATTCATTCGCAAGTCTTTTACGAAATTCGTAGAAGTCGAGAATAATAATTGTCCTCGCAGGACTACCAGCTATGGTGTTTCCAATACTTCTAAATCTGAAAAAATGCCTAAGGAATAAAAGATTATTTATAAACGTAGATTTTACCTAGCCGAATGTATTTTTTATATATTTCAAAATGATAATCTTTTATTTATATTGCACAATTTTTAAATTATCTCTTTACTACTTTACTATTACTTCGATTTATTTTTACCCATTTAATTTCAAGACTACGATTTAGATTTTTTATCTAAGACTTTTATCATCTCTCATTTGCACAGAAAATATTTATGTTATGTATAATTTAAAAAGTTAAACTGCCATTATCCAATATTACAACGAATTATGTCATTTGTTCATATATCAACAAGTAGTTTGGTTTTGTTGTTGAAAAAAGGTCAAATATTTTGCATCATTGATATTTATATCATGTATTGTAATAAGCTATCGTATGATAACTGATACTAATTCATATATTTTTATTGTACTTTAATATGCTTTAGAATTCTTTAAGTGTGGCAAAATAATATTCATACGCTTTGCATTGGACGAAAACATTGTAGCATTCTATTACTTTTGTATCATCGCTATTAAAGATTGCGTTAATTATAATTTGTCATATAAAAGATTTCAAAAATAAAAGTCATTCAAATATTTTGTTATAAAACTGAAATTAATTTACTTTAATACAGAACTATATGAATTTAAAAATAAAATTTTTAACTTATATTGTTGTAACGATAATGTTGTATTTTTGATAAATATTATTGCTACGTGTACTTAAATTAAAATGAATTTGTGTATTATAAAGTTTAAAGTCTCCTAATTATATTAAAAGTTTTAAGTATCTATATTTTCAATTGTTTAGAATTTCATGCGAAAAATATCAGTTTTGCACCAAAGAATTACTCAATATAAGTTATCAAATTACTAGATTTATTTGTTCAATAATATTAATTTTCTTGTAATAAAAAGTATATACTTATAGTAAATAGACCATAATAACTTTGTAAATTATTGTAAACGAAGAAACGATTAGTTAAAAGAAAGTCTATTTAATATCAAATATAACACTATCGCAATAATGATAAAGTTTAAAATTAAATATAACATGAGGATAAAAATTGTACTTCAAATACTCATTGGCCTATACTAATAGCTAGCAATTACTATAATTATAGAATATATATTTATAATAAAATAATTAATTTTTATATTTTCATTAAAATTTTGTAGCTCCATAGACTGCATTGATACAAATAATATGATTGATTTGATAAACATCTGTAATCCTTTGGCTTTACCGCGATAATAAATAAATTTCTTTCTAGTGAAAGTTGATTTTAATAGAGTAAAATATGTAGCTATTGAAATATTATTTAGTTTTATTTTATTAATATCTTAATGCTCCATACGAATAGTCTCGAACGTTTTAGCTTACAATTCAACCTCTTAATAAACAAGATCTTAATTACAATACAGAATTAAATATATAAAAATCTTGTCGAAAACTGTTCTTTGCATAAGATAGAAATTACTTTCTATTATAATAATAACTATCAACTTGGAATACGGATGTTTCATCTTTTCTCGAGCATGATTCAAACATAATTTATTTCCGAAAAAAAGTTTCTCAGTAGTAAAAATATTATTTTAATTGAAAAGGTAAAATAACATTTCATATTTCGATAATAATGTCAGGCATGTAATTATAATGTTTATATTTTCTTTGCTTGTTTAATAGTCGCTGATATGTAATTTTGTTACTGCAATTTTGAATGTAATCTAAACGTTTTGATTTATCAACTCATTTTATAAAAAATTTTATATCCTTTTAATGAATTATAATTTTTTATTTTCATTATTTTTATTATTATTATCTTATTATTATATTGTTTAAATAAGTCAAATAAAAAGTGGTTTTTAATAATTTTAAAGAAAATTCGTATTCTCTTATTCATATTTAATTTTTAAATAATGTAGAAAGTATATGTTTCATAGTTTAACTTTTAATAATAATTAATTTTAATTTTACACATAATGAAAAATTGAAGAAAGTTTCTGCAATTAAGAAATGTATGTAGAGATAGTTAAAATAATTTTATAGTACGAATACGCCTT